CGCAGTAATTATTGTTTAAAGTGAACTTTATTTGAAGAGAAACACAAATGCAAACAAGGTGTTTAGCTTGATTATTACCTTATTTTTTCCAGTTACAAGTGAGAATAGCAAGTTTACAGTTAACGGTTAAAAAATTTTTTCGGTTTTATGTAAATTAGGCAAGATTTTAAAACAGTTCGAAGTTACGACGACAAATGGAGTTAAAACATGTAAATTGAGCTATTAGAAATTGAGCAAAACCTACTTATGAGAAATGCAATTAAAAAATTCGCGTGTACCGTCGTCTCAAAGTCAAAATTGGTTGTCGTCTTATTTGCCAGACATTTTTTTCCTCTAAATAAATTATCCCATAAAAACATATCCCTTGCTGAAAAAACGTCACATAGATCAGTTGAACCTAACAAAGCATTGGCCTATGTAACTAGAAATTCACGAGATCCAATATAAAACTCTGCATCAAGACTGTTTGTATCAAGGGAAAACTCTGAAAATTGAAAACTCTTATTGCCTTCTATTTCGTTTTATTTGATGAAATTTCAAAAACCAAATTTCTGTAAAATTCTCTAGTTTCGCATCTAAAAGTTTTAGTCGTGAAAATTTGCAAATGACATGATCGTTTGAGCAATTATCTTGCCTTACGAGGTCAAATTGTGTATTTGAGAATTGGAGGCCTGATTCCGTAACGAGCTGAACTGAAATTCATTGAACAATCCGCAAAAACTAATTTTTTTTTCGATCTTTTTGCTGTTGTGGATTCCGCGAACAGACAGCTAAAACACTCTACTGCTCAAAATCCCTACAAAAGCAGCAAAAAATGCGTAACCGGGAAAAAAGTGTGAGGGTTTCAAAAACAGCTTGCGGAATCATTAAACAAATAAGTATTAATTACAAAAAGCATTTCGCATTTAATTTTTGCGGAGTCTGCTTACAATTTCCAAAATCCACTTACATCGTTAAATTTTACTTTTTATTTTTGCGCATTTTACTTTAATTTGCAGATTCCGCTAGCATTTGCCGAATCCAGATTACCTTGCTGTACTCGCTTGTTGCGGAAACCGCGACCTTAGTGAACCGACAGTTTTTTTTTACAATATATTTGTTCGGCGAATCCACTTGTTTCTGGGTTCCAGTGACCAACGCAGACCGAACCGTGTGCCTAACCAGCGCACAGTTTGGCCTCGTATTGTTTCCATTCAAATTGGAATGATTGTTTTTACCGACTAACTTGCTATGTACTCGTTGTGTTTTTAAACTAGAAACAAAACAAGGAAGAATTGTATCAAAAATATCCCCTCCATAACTGTATCAAAAATATCCGTAGGGGAAAATAATGAAAAATCATTAATATCGTCAAAGGCGTAAAAAGTCTGTAAAAACAGCTTTTGCGGTCGCCAATATTCGGCCGAAAACAAACACGAGTATAATTCACAGACACATCGACAGTTTTCGCGCAAAAGCAGTCATATAACAAAATTGTGCCTGAATTTATTCCAGATTCATTTTAGGAATTTTGCGAAAGACAGCCAGTCAAAAAATCTACTCAGCTGAGGAACAAAAATTATTTTGGTAGTAGTTTCTGCACAGCAGGCAAACTTTGTGAGAAATCACGTATTTTTTTTTGTTCGTTTTTGTTGGTTATTTGTTAAATCGATTTTCCCAATGATTTATCAAGTTAGTATCTTTTGATAAAAAAATCAGGATTGATTGTCGAATACTAATAGCGTCTCAAAACAGTGTCTCTTTGGTTTCATTTGATGGATTTTGGAAAATAATTCGAGTCCTCATGTTAAAGTTGATGAAACCAACAATATAAAACAAGCAATCTTTTCCGGTAAAAAGGTCAAAATAATTCTCTTTCGTCTTTTTTAATTTTGGATTAAAATTTATTTATTCAACGCTGCGTGCACAACAATCAATTTTTACACCCGCAATTAACACGAGGAAATTTAAATTAGAGCCCAATCTACATCGTGTTTCCTAAAACTTTGAGGCTGTTAAATGGTTCAATTTTTTGTCAACAAATTGTTTGTTTTTTAGTATATGCCACAAGGAGGTGGGTATGTGGGGCCGCCTGTAACTGTCACTGTCAGTGCTCCAAGTAAGTCAAATTGAAGTTATCCAACTACTAAAAAACTTCCCGCAGATCGAAATCATAGCCCGCAGTGACCTGGACTCCTTTCCTTCCGAAACCTCTATCAAAGTTGCTGTTTTAGTTTAGCAGAAGAGCTCAAAAATCAGCATAAACTGCTGGATCAGAAAATGGATCGACAAATCATAACATGTTTGCTCGTATCGGAGCGAAGCCCTGAATATTCCGACTGCCTTTTAAGGTGTATGGATCAGTAATAACATGACAAATCTTAAATGTAATGAAAAAAAAAATTTAAAAAATTTCATTGAAAAAATTGAGAATTTTTGTAAAAACATCCCCCCACACGCCATATCAAGTACAAAGTAATAAATTTTGCTCCTACTAACTAATCAATTATGGCACATAAGCTTCCTTGAACCAATTTGGAACGATTTCTAACACGGATTAAATCTCCGCTTACGCGTTAATAGCGCGAAATATTTCGCGCGTTAATTGCCCCAAATTGACCAAAATGACAATATTTAAACCCCCATAACCTTACGAATAATGCTCACAGGTAAAAACCCACCCCGAGCACAAATAATCCTTTCTTTCGTTACGAATGTCGGAACAATAATCTAGATCCGTTTCTGAAAAGAAACACTGAATATTTATTTAGAGAACATATTCCCGTACAGGGTGTCCCAAAAAAAGAACGCCTTTAGTTTGATACAATTGCTTGTTGTTCCGACTTTCGTATCGAAAGTAACAAAATATATATGCTCGGGGTGGGTTTCTTCTTCAGACAAATTTCGGTTTTTTAAATAGCAATTTTTGACGAGATATTTCTAAAAATCATCCTGCTCTATAATATGAAAAAAGACTCCGTCAAAATTGGCTAGTTATAAATCGAAATTTGCCTGGAAAACCACCCCAATCACAAAATATCCACCTTTTTTTCGAAATAGTCGGAAGAAAAACAAATTGATAAACGAGAACTGCATTGCATTTGCATACAAATTAAAAATTCAATTTAAAAAATATCTAGTAAAGTTAAAAAAAAGTTGGCATTTTTGTTCATTTTTTAAATACTCTAGAGCGTACTTTTTTCGTTTACAGGAGAATTGTACCCTCGTATGCTGGATTAGAGTACAGAAACTCACATAAATTGGTTTTCTTTTCTAGCCGTATTTCGAGTTCAAACTTTTTTGGGAAAACTGTTTAATTCAAAAACTAAAATGCCTTCATTCAGTCTTGATGCATAATTTGTTACAGCTCCCCAATTCAGTACGTAATAAGTATTTCATTTCTCATCTGTGTAAATGGTTTTTATTTTCAAAGTCAAATCTGGAAGGGGTTGGAATTGTTAACGAAACGCTTAGATGAATCAAGAACGGTTATTTCATATCAACTTTGCGCCAAAAATCGTTAATGGATATTTCTGACTAGTTCAGATCTTTTTTTTGCGTTTCAATTATGGTTTTGTGGTTCTGAAACGATTTTGGGCCTAAAGCTTAGCATGAAACTAGTGTTTTTTTTCAAAAACTCCACTCATTTTGAAGATAAAAACAATTTTTTATCTAATTTTTTCATTGTTAGCTAATTATGAATAGCTGAATGAAAAGAATAAAGTTGTTCAGTTCTTGACTCATTTGAAAACCTTGGGCTGGGCGGGTTGAAAGAAAACTTTGTATTGTTTATAATACCCTCCCGGAACTGAATGAAAAATTAAGTGTTTGTTTATTTGTTTAGATACGCCGAGCACGGTAAGTTAAATGTTGAAATTCAAATTGGAGAATTTGCATGACTTTGACTAATCAAAATAGCGGGTGCCGGACATCAAACCGACGGGATTTCAAGCCGAATCGCAAAATTAGGGACTTCAAGCCGAAAATTTTCTCATTAAGTCATGAAATAAGATTAATTTGAACACTTTTCTGAAGATTTTCGCATTTTCATGATCTTTAGTGGGTATTTATTAGCGTTTTCATAAAATTGAAACCTCCAAATGATGTTTAGGAAAGTTGAAAATAAAACACGGTTGAAGGCAAATTTTTTGTTTATAATTTATGCATTTCAAAAACCGGCTGATAATATTAACGGATGCCAATCCTAAGTGATTTATTGTCACGAATAACGTTTATTATGGTCTAAACCTGCCTGACATTTTCAAAAGCAACGTTTTACAGATGAAAAAATATTGACTTGAGGTGCTTGTAAAGTTTAATTTTCGGCCTGAAGTCCCTTCGGCCTGAAGTCTCTTCGGCTTGTTGTCCTAGACCCCAAAATAGCTGGTGTCAGATTATAACAAACAAAATTTGCGCAGTGAGGACAAACGGGTCTTTTCCGTTATATACGTCCCAAAATATATTTTTTGACATCTTTGTAAAAATCGAGGGTTAAATGGGATGAAAATGCTCAAATCTGATTAGTTGAAAAAGAAACCAGCTTGACAGAAGCTGGAAATCATTATTTTACCGAAGCTGATTTAGTCGAAAAATACCAAAATGACAGAAAAAATGGTGTTTTATTAAATGAGCGACTAAATTTCAATTCGCTTGTTCAACAATGGTGTGACAAAATTACATCGGTTAAGTTTCTGAAGGCATATACCCTAATTAGCATGTTTTCACAAATTTTTAACGGCTGAACAGACATTTAAATAAAATATAGTCTTCTTGGTCGGCGCTTCAGGGAAGAAAAAAGTGATTTTTTTTAAATATCTGATCTGCTCGCCCCCATTTTCCCTAATTCTTAATAATAGTTCAATTCACTCTTGAAAAGGCTTTTCCTTTGCAAAAGACTTTTGATAATATGTTAAAAAAGTTAATTTTTTTCGTTTCGTGTTTCCCCATCGTACATTTGTAAATTTAAATTATTTAATTTATGTTAATTATATTTGTTTATTATATTTTATTTATAGTTGTTTTGTTGAGTAGAACCAGTGGCAACAGTCGTTCTGTGGCTGCTTCGATCACTTCATGATATGTTTGGCCTCTTTGTGTTGTTGGGGCGAGTGTGTGTTCTTCTGCATAGCATACTACACTAAACAGACTAAACTGTGGGCCATCTCCTTCTGTCTGATGTGTGCCGGCGCATTCTTCAACACTCTCCCATACGTCGTCCGGTGGGGAGCTTAGTCACTATTTATATTGTTGGCAAATATTTCAGCGCGACAATTCGCCGCCCAAGATCAATTCGCAACAAAAAAATCGAAACAAAAAAGAATCATAGCACTAAAAGCCGAGTCGAGGAGGGGTCCTCTATTTGGTCTTGTATTTTCAATCAGATCTGCAGAATGCTCCTAAATTTTAGAGAAAAAAATAACAAACTGAGCTCGATTATCTAAAAATGATTCTTATGGGACCTTTTTTCCCAAGATTTGGATCATAATTAATTACAGGTGATTATTAAAAATTCCACAGTCGTGACTCGGATTCTTAGAAAATCAAAGAAGTTGTCGCTGAATTTTTTTAGTTTTCTGGCTAAATAAGACTATTTGAAAAAAATCTGATGTTCAAATTTGCTTCAAATGCAGCTTAATTCAACAGAAACTTTAACGATAGCTTAGTGATTATTAACACTGAACCCAATATATTTTAACTCAATTAAATGACCATTTCTACTTTTTTAAAAAGAGCACGAAATTTAAATAAAAACGGATTTTTTCAAAATGATTTTTTGATTATTCTCACATTGAGAAACGGAACAAAAATAGCCGTTTACTGTGCAGGTAGCATAGAATGTTCTGTCCATAGTCTTAAGAAATACTTGGCAAAAAAAAACTTTTTCAAGTTAGTTTCGTTTTTTTTTCTGCGTGGTGTGATACAAGGATCTGAACGACAAACTAACACTTGGCAATAATCGACTGTCATAGTAATAAGCAGTTTGGAATAATGTTTTTGTGTCATTTGGAATAATATCATTTGAATCACGGCTTAAAGTGCTTTAATATAATATATCCCTCAACTCGCTCCAATGGTTATTTTTGTTAGCTGATTTTGCGCAAAAAAAACCAAAACACACCCGAATACAAAGTTACTCCTAAAGTCTGAACAGCAGTCTGTCTTACTTGCACAACAAGCAACAATCCTTGTTATTTTTAGATAATATGTTTGGGTCCAAATTTCGCTATGTAAAAGGGTGGCTATATTTTGTTTTTCGATTCCCGTAAAAGGCGGATTAATTGAGTCCAACTTCCTAAGCGTTGGACCAAGTTGAACTCTAATTTTGCCATAGATGGGGATCAACGAGAGTAATTAGTAACAAACTAATGCTCAGCTTCATTTATCACCCTTATCAAAAAATTGAATGTAGCGAGTTCCCGGTACTAATCATCGATGAAAAAGCAAGTTTTAATAACCTTTTTATGAAATTTTTTGAGCTATTTTATGGGTCAAAAAAATCTGTTTTTTTTTTGAAGAACATAGATAAAATAGCGATGATTTACCAATGATTTAACGCTGGAAAATAAACTGAATTTCGCGCTGAATAAGCAATAGAAGTCGCAAATTCCTTGTTAAAAAATCATCGCTAAATCACCATCACCGCCTAATCTTCGCTGTTTTTTGGGTTAAGTGCTACTATATAAAATATATTTTTTTCATCCAATCATCAATCAGAGCGTTGTACTTTCTCAGAGCAATTTTTGTCAGACTCGTTTAAATATTTTCGATTTTTTTTCAAATTGTTTGGATTTAATTTATCTTAATTTGAACGGTAATTTTGAAATGAAAAGGGCAATTTCTCTCCCCCGCTCCCTTTAGTATGGGGGGAGGAAAACGGGAGGGGTGTCAAAACGGGGGGGGGGGGGTTAAAACGGTAAGCCCCCCGCCCCATTTACTGGTGGGGGAGGAAATTGTGGGGGAAACGGGGGGAGGTGCAAATGGGGGAAAAGGGGAAGGGTAAACAGCTGCCGTATGCGGAGAGGGGTAGAATTTCAAGTATTCTACCTCGCTAATTCGCCGCTAGTTTATCGCTAATTCACCGCTAAAAAATCATCGCTAATTCAGTTCTAATTCATCGCTGAATCATCGCAAAAATTTTCAGATTTCATGTCTTTCAACCTGTGATAATTCAGCACTGAAATTTTTAAATTGGGTAAATCTTTATCCTAATTCATTGATGGCAATCACTGTTTTGCAAATTTTTATCGCTAATTTGCAATGTGAACTCAACCTAGGGAGTTTTTTTGTAGTGATTCATAATCAAAACCAAATTAGAAAACAAAGCAACGAAAAAGCAATTCAATTTCAATTGTTTTTTGATTATTTCCATTGCTCAATATAGCGTGGAACTGTTTTATATTTGCCACGAAAAAATTAAATGAACGACTAAAGTATGATAAAAGCATTTACTAGTTACTATTCTCTGCCACAAACCCTTAGATCTCAAAATCTCAAAATGGACCCTCTGAAAATTTGTTTTCCAATAAGATACTATCTACGTGCATCTGTTTTCTAGTGCAGCACTCATATGAAGCTGTTTTCTTGAAAAAAAAAAAACGATTTCTTGAACTATAAGGTTTTTAGTAAAATGTTTCTTTTCATTGGTCCTCAATTTGCCAGGGAATGGCATGAAAGAATTTTTTATTATTTAAAAATGAGTCCAAAACCGTTCACGTGGCAAAATGCAGCGAGAAATGGTCAAATTCAGCTCCTTGCCATGAAAAATATAGACAAAATTGTCGTCTCAATATGTCAAACTGCAACAGAAGACACTTAAGTTTCGCAAAAAAAAAAAGAACTCGCAAAACTCGGTGCAAAATGGGTTTTGTACCCTTTGCTCCGCTGAACCTGCAATCAGCCCAAGATGAAAGTGCGCATGAATCAGTTTTTTCCTGGTAACCTATAACGTTTTTTAACCAACAATATTAGTTCAGTGATTATTTGCGCGATATGGGATCAAGTTAACATCCTCCCTTCATCCCCCCAAATAGACCAAGTTAAGATCCTCCACCCCAGCGCTGAATTTAAATTAAATTTGTTAAGCGCTGCATGTAAAATAATCGATTCTGATTGGCTGAAAAATCCCAACTTAGAACCAAGTTAACAGCCTCCCCCCTAAACGTGTTTGGGGGGAGGATGTTAACTTGGTCCGCGATATCTTTTCTTTCGAGCCTTTCTATCTCATTAACATATACCGCACATTGGTATCTAATAACGAGTTTGATCAAATATAACATTGCTTTAGGATTTAATAATTTAGTTCAAATAATTTTTAATGCAAGATGTTTTCTTATTTTGACCAAATTATATTTGTAAAATTACCTTCAGTGCACACTCTCGAATATAATTTGCAATCCAGTACAGTGGTGATTCAAATTATCCGGACAAAACGAATAAAACTTAAAATTTAAAACGCGTTTTTCTCAACCTTGTTTGACCTTAAACAAAAATTGACGAAGAAAAACTTGGTTAGAATTTGCGCAGAATTAATATGATGCAATTTTAATTTTATGATGCAAATTTACACAATAACAGATCAATATTGGCTTTTTTAGTCAATAAAAAGTTGCGCCAAAAATTTCGGACCAACTGCTATTAAAGTGAGCCTTTCATGTAGCCAAATAAATTTAGGAGGAAGATAATCTCTAAATTTTTGAGCAAAACCTTTCAAGTTTATTCTAAAATCTGATGTTTTTATGGTTGAAACATAATTTTTGATTATTAAACGGAACTAATTTGGAACTAGTTCTCTTATTTGATCCCTTGAAAAAACTAGTTTATTGGTCCGCCAGTTTTTTATCAACAATTGCAAGCGGAGGATTCGAATCTACGACTTGGGGTTGGTAACCAATTTCGTACCCGCTAAGCAAACAATGCCCTATGTGTTATCAACATAGAGAAATTAAGATGTTTACAGTGAGAATTAACCCAATTGAGAAAAACGCGTTTTAAATTTTATTAATTTTGTCCGGATAATTTAAAATAGCGCTGCATTTCTTCTGGTCGAAAAAAGACGTTGCGTGAGGTGGCAAGCGTTGTATAGACATAGAAATAAGTCTATGAGATGACTTCTCCCAATCTTATGTACATTTTGTCCTTCGGACATGAGAATAGCCCCAATTTATGAATTTTTTTCTATAAAAAAGCCCAATCAGAATTTTAAAAAAAACTGCAAAATACTTATTGAAAAAGAAATGAAACCTGAGAATTAAAATTAAGATAAGCCGATTGCAAAATAAGTAGATGCAGCATTCGGCCCGATACGTATTGCGCACCTGATACGAATGGCCCGAGATACAAACTGTTTACGAAAATTCCCTTGGAAAACACAGGCGTGATGCTCCGATTCGAGCTTATCGCTAGGCAGAGCTTTTCCCTTATAACTAGATAGTGTAACTTCTGATATTTTTTTTTGCTTTTTTCGGTTTTCGGCGCTAACCCTTCCGCAAATAGGACCTCGTTAAGGCTTTAGACGATTCTGATTGGTTTTTTTTTTCTATCAATTGGTCCTTCTATCATTCGACTAGCAGCTCTTTGTTCTAGCATGGGAGACGACTGGAACCCCACATCCTACATGATCTTCATGAGCTTCTGTGCTCTGGTGGCACTTGGGGCAGCGGTGGCTCGCTTCGTCATATTCACGGCCGTACGGGCCAGACTGAGGGACACGTACAACATCAGGGGCACTCTGCTGGAGGACTGCTGCTTCGCTTACTGGTGTGCCCCGTGCACCACCTGTCAGATGATGGCCGAGGTCAGTTAGCCACAGCAAAATACGTGTATTGCTTCACCTCGTTTAACAATTAATCTTCTCGTAGCACTATTTGCGCAATAAAAAACTAGGTAAAGGTAAATTTTTTTACAAAAAGTGAAAAAATACATGTATTTTGTCTTACAAATTTCGCCGTCCTAAATTTAGTTACACATTCCGCCACTCAAACATCGTCTTTAAAAACTTACACACAAAGTCCTTGTGAAATGTCCAACTACATTTAAGAAGGGTAGAATGCGTGAGGGGTCTAACGTGTCCCTTATCGGGGGTTAAAAGGTTAAATTCTAATTCAAAATTTAAAAACTCCGTTTACGAAATTTAGTTTGAATCTTTCGATATGTAGGTGAAATTATGTGAAATAAGAGATATAAGCTATGCTTAGACGGAATGGATAGCCTTTCATAGATCCTCTTCGATTCGCACAAACCATAATGATAAATTAGTAGACCAAAACTTGGAACATTTAGGCCACTCTTTGAAAACTCTTTGCATTTTACTCTGAGTAGTGCTGCCGAAAGTTTTTTTTGAAGTTTTCAAGCAATGGAGTTGTTTTTAAAAATCTTCGGCAACATTAGTCAGATTGAAGTGTAAAGGAGCTAGCAAAGAATATCAATTGGCCCTACTAAATTAATGTACGTATCAAAAGATTCAAAACGAATTTTCTAGACAAAATTATAGATAATATAGATATATCAGATATTATAATCAGAATTATAGATGATGATATCAGAATTATAGATATTATAGATAAATTATAGATATATCTGGACGAAGTTTTAGATTATAATTTCACTTTTTGGAATTTTTATGGTAACAGACAGGGCGGGACTGCATACTTCAAAAACAACCAGATCGAGTTCGAATTCAACTTTTTTCGTAACTTATCGGTTTTTCACAGGTTCATATGGATGATTAATGCAGCCGTTCTTATTCAGAATTTTTTGCTCGGTGTAAAAGTGTGTTTCAGTTCAAAATAGGAATTCAGTTCAAAATAAGATTAACTCTACTAGTAATTCAACCAAACACTGGATATTCGAATGTCCTTTTTGTTTCAGGTGGACCACCAATTGGATCTGCAAGGCGAACGCACCATCTTTTCACGAACCTAATATATGACACAACGGTTACATCACTGACTTGGGAAACATTATCCGACAAAGAATGCGCAATATTTTGACCTGAGCAAGTTTTTTGACAACAGATACGTATTTAATCCACAACGCGAACTGTTTTCTCACAAACTGGCAATTTTGTGCTTATTTTTGAAGAGTTGTCCTTTTAATTTTTTATTAATGAGCAAAAGCCAAAAACAACGAAAATTTTCCTTGGTTAATTTATATGAATGATTATTTTTTAAAAGAAAATAAATACAAAACCGCATGTTCTCGTTCTGTTGATAAAGTTTTTCCAAACTCAACCTAGACGTTCCTCCTATTAATGTTTTTTTTATTCAACCATGAAATTAATGTATAACCCTGACGACCAGAAGTGTTTAGCTTTATCTTTAGCATAAATCATCGAAACACTTAAGCTTTCTTAAATTTATGTTCTTCCTCAAAAATAATTGAAAATGTTTATCTTATTGTTTTTCCAACCATTCACTAAAAATTCACAATTTACATACCTCAGTCTATCAAACTATGCGAAATTTAGATGACTTTGTCTATGAATTGTTGTAGTTTTTGTTTTATTTCGACCGACGAAAGTGCGAAGGAACGTTGTCTTCGGGTGTGATGTAGTTTTTACACCAAAATTGAAGTTAATTCCAAAAAAACTTTCCCAGGGTTAAAAAAATCGGTTTGATTTTTTTTATTTTTCGTTCAATTTCAAGCAAAAAATTTTTAGAGGGCTTATAATATTTAATTTTAAATTTTTAAACCTCTCTCCAACTTAGTTAATTAAGTGACACTAGTTACCCAAAAATTGTTTAGCGCCTTCTTGGGAATAAAAGATAAAGAACGAATCAAAAAAAGTTCTGCAAAAACTTCTTGAATTTTTCTGATTTTTTAAATTTTATAATTAATTTATGTGAAAAACAGTTCTCAAATATGTCTATTTTTTTTTTTAATTTTGAGTAGTTATAGTCTTTCGCCTTATCACACCAAAAACAAAAAACGACGCAAATTGAAAAAAAAATTTGTAGTTTTTTTTTCAAAAATATATTCGGAACATTCTGTGCTACAAATAGCTTGTTATTAATTTCAAAAAGTTCGGAAAGGCAGTGCTATTTGACGTTGTTGCATGCAAAATCTGAAGCCGAACAACCTTGAGTTTTTTGTCTGACCAAATTCAAAATGCGGGGTTGTCAATTATCCGATGAGTATGCTAGCCTAATTTTTAAAAACTGCAAAGAAAATCCAGATGTTAGTACATCAGTTAGCAAAATTAGTTGAAAAATCGAAACCTACCGAGTATGCTGTTTTACAAAGACGATTATCAAGGAGTTATTTTCAACAACAAGAACAAAAAAAAACAGATTAGGCCGCCCCCTTCCCCCCCCCCCCCCCAAAAAAAAACAAACGGAAGTAAAGCTGATCAAATAATTCAAAATTTGGAAGTTAATCGCAGAAAAACACTAGCCACAAGGTTTACTATTCGAAGCTTCGGATGCAATTACCCCCCGTGGTTATAGGTTTTGAGCGCAAACTCTGCTTTATGAACTTTAGACGTTATGTTTATTTCAGTTTTAATTTCCGTTAATGTCTAGACAGTTGCACTTTTTAATTAACTATGTCCGAACTTTTTGCAACTCTCAATAACAAGCTTATCGGACAACGTATTAAATTTCTGAAATGATTTTGACCTTCAAATACAAACTTAATCAAAACACTTCTCAGAATTTCGCATTTGCCTTTTTGTCGGCATTTTATGTAGTTTCTTGCTCTGCATAAATTTGTTAAACTAATTATTTTTTTGTTTTATGCATAACAGGACTGTGCCAAACTGAACATTCTAGAAAATGTGACCTCGAACTGTCTGAAAAATGGACATCTCTCAAAAAACAAAGTCGTTTCAACTAGGTCAAGTTTCAAAAAGCAATTTCCAAAAGTCGGTTTTGTTCCCAAGAACAAGGTAAGAATTATTGGGAAAGTTTAAAGTTTTTTTATAGGCTATGTTAAAACTTTAACTACTCATTTTGACGTCGGAATTAATTTAACACTTGTTTGAGTTATTAAACTTCAAGAATCTAATTAACACTAAAGTTTTCGACCGACATGCTTGCCACCATTATAAACAATTGACCTTAAATAGAAGTCAACACTTCAAGACGCTGTCCAAGAAGTTGTTATGTAGTTAATTCCAAATGATTGTCACTATGTTTATTGGTCAAAAAATCTACATGGAATATATAAACAAATCTATTGTATCAATTGCAGAATAATTATAGTCTTAAGACTTGAATTTGGTAATTCACAAACTCCTTGAAAATTTGCCTTTGCCTTCTTTGCTGTCGTTTTCTTTGGCTCTTGTTAGCTTTTTTAGAGCAGGCCAAAAACTAAGTTATTTTAAAGCAGTTTTTAATAAAAAAATCCTGAAACTCATTAGTTCGTTAATTGAAAAGACAATGATTTCTACTTTTACAAGGCTTTTCATGCAACTTCGATATTGGAAAACATATTTTGAACAATTTGACACGCAGAAGCGAAAGGGAACCATGACATCCAGAATACATCCAATTGTAACATAATTCAAATAATTCTATTCAGACACCGCAATTTAAAAAAATTCAGCGAAAAAATGGGAACACTAAAGAAAGCAGTGAAAATGTTTATGAAAAGTAGACAAAAAACCCATATGATTACTGAACGAGCTTAAAACACATTTTAACCTTAAGCTTGGAAAGAATAGCCGATTGATGTTCAAGTAGCACAAGATGATCTGACCAAAATTTTTATACGGGTTTCGACTGATTTTAATTCTTAAGAAAAACACGCATAAAAGATGATAAGAACCGTCTAAAAAATGGCATTAAGTTCACTTTTATGAGTCGGTAACTAAGGCGTCAAATTAAGGTAGACATAAAGCCTAAGTGTTCGATTTTTTTAGTTTCGTAGAAAAACTTCCGAAACTTGGAAATTTTACGTTACACATCAAACGCTCGAATGAAAAAAAAAATTGCCGGTCGAACGACGTAATACGAAGCGACTAAGCCAAAATAAGATAAACCGAAACCTTTAAAGCCATATAAACATGTAGAAAAAAAAAATAAATTACATGCAAAGTAAGTTTACAGCTAACATTAACAAAAGTTGCACTGAAAAATTGCTTATTGAACAGGAGTTTGAAACGTTATAAAGAAAAAATTACATCTCTGAATCAGTGATTTAAAAAAAAATAGTGATTTTGTTGAACAAGTTGTTAACCTGAAAATGTCTGCGTTCCGATTTGATAACGCTTGCTAATCGCAAGTACGCGCAAATAAAACTAAGTGTTTCGGTAGTTTTCGTAGAACTACATTAAAAATTAATGAGGTGTAAAAGATCGATAAATTTACTGCAGGCAATCATTTTACATACTGTTCTCATATCTTGGAAAATATCGAAAACCAAAATCTAACAAGCAGTTGATATGAAAAGGAATTATCAGTGGTAAAAAGGAAAAGCTGTTCAAACGATGTAACTTTGAAAAATTTCAACTTCTTTGTCAGACCGAATCAGTTCGCAAAATCTTTATCAATTTTTCTAGGCAAGCTATTCAAGCTAACGAACTTTGAATAATTTCAACTTAATTCATAAAACATTTCATCCAACAAAACGGTTTGCGAAAATCTTCAGTTTTTCTGAGCAACCCATTCAAGTTAGGAATTTTTGGAACAAGGCGAATCTCATGACGCAGATTTAAGTTTTTCTATTGAAGCCATGCAAGGGATGAAATTTCGAATTAATTCAAGATACTTCATAGAGCGAATCGGTGCGCAAACAATTGAAGTCGCTCTTTATTTAATTTTTTTTTCGGATAATGGAAGCGATTGATCTAGAAAACGTTGAAGTATTTCAAGTTGTTTCATAGAGCGATATAGTTCCCAAAAAATTGAAGTCTTCTAAGCAAGCGATTCAAGCAACAAAACTTGAAAAAATTTCTAGCGCTAATTTCTTAGCGGTATTCGTTTTGCGAATTTTTTAAGCTATTCAAACTGTGAACCTTTGGAAATTTTCAAATTATTCCATGAAGCGAATCGGATGGCTGAATGTTTAAGTCTTTCTATTAAAGCCATTCAAGCGATGAAATTATTAAATATTCCAAGTTGTTTCATAGAGCGAAACAGTTCACGAAAAATTATTTTTTAACCAGCTACTCAACTGATAAAAATTTCCAGACGCGAAAATCATTTGTGAAATGTTTAAAACTTTCTAAGCAAGCTATTCAAGCAATGAAAATTTGCAATATTTCATGTTATTTCAGAAAACAAATCAGTTGGTTAAAAGTTCGAGTTTTTCTAAGCAAGCAATTCAAAGTACGAAACTATGAATTATGTCAAGTTATTTAATAGACCGAATCGATAAGCTTAAATTTTAAATTTTTCTAAGCAAGCAATTCAAGCTATGTAACTTTGAAGTAATTTTGAAGTAACTTTGAGCCAATCGAATGGTGGAAAGTTCAAATTTTTCTTTTGATGCAATTCAGACGATGAAGTAATTCGAGTTATTTCATAGACCGAATCAGTTTGCGAAATGTTCATTTTTCCTACCCAATCTTTTTCAAGCAACGAGAATTTGAAATATTTCAATTAGTTTCACGAAGCGAATCGGTATGTTTTTCTTAAGCAAGCTAATTAAGCAACAAAAAGTTATTTCATAGGCCGAATCGCGAATTTCTTCGAAAAGCTATTCAAGCCTTGAAACTTTGAAATATGTCAAGCTATTTCATGGACCGAATCGGTTTGCACTAAGTTTAAGTTGTTTTAAGCAACTTATTCAAGCTATGAAACTTCAAAATATTTCATAGAGTGAAAAGCGCCGCAAAAATTTTTTTCTAAGCACTTCAAGCAATGAACTTCTGAAATATGTCAAGTAATTTCATAGCGCCAATCTCTTGTGAAAAATAAGTTTTTATGAGCAAGCTACTCAAGCTGTGAAACTTTTAAATAATTCAAGTTTTTAATAGACCGAATCGGTTCATGAAAATTTCAAGTTTTTCTAAGCAAGCTATTCAAGCTATGAAACTTCGAAATATTTCAAGTTATATCATAGCACGAATAGGTTTGCAAAAAATGTTTCTAGGCATGGATATTTCTGTTTTATGTTGATTTGTTTCAAAATGAAAAGAATCTGTGAACGAAAAAATGTTAAGTGGACAGGTACTGTCTAGCCTTGAAGTGAAGTTGAATCTAGTTAATTGTGTTCAAAATATTTCGGAATTTTTTCAAAACAAAATCTAGAATGTTCTAGACTGAATGATTCTTAGGCGTTCTGACCTTAACTTTTTAAAACTTTGCGCTCGATAGCCCCTTAAACATTAGGCCTGATGCTGAAAATATGTCGTTCATTTAATATATGAAGAATATAAGACTAGTTACTAAAATAACAAACGCAAGAACAAACATATCGAACAAGAGAATGATTTTGGGAACTCCGAAAATGTTTCTTAAATTGGAAACTTTTACCAAAACAGTTAACTAAAACAACAAGTATATGGAAGTAATGCACGGGTAGATTGGAAAAAGATCAAAATATGTCTGCAAGGTTTTAAAAAAAACTAACATAGCGCGCTCTTACTTTTCCAAAATGTCTCAATTTTCTATCAACAACTTTCCAAAAAAATCACAGGCGATCAATTTTAGCAAAACTTCGAGCTCAGAGCTCTAACATTTTTTAGCAAACAGTTTTGTTCGTGCAATTTTAAAACATTCCAATGCTGACAAATCAAGTTACTCAATTAACATACCGCTTAAGTTCAAAAACCAAAAACTGATTTTAAATTACCTTCAAACCTACTCGGCGAGTTGTTTTCAACAAACACTTGTTTAGCCACAATAAGTCATTTCATTTTCAAAAATGGAAACTATAGTATGTAAAGTTTATTTCTCTCAATGTTGTTTTTAAGTTCCATTCAGGTTGCAAGTTTTTGTTCATTTATTTGTCTCTGGCGCGCACTCAAATCGCTTGAAGCAAAATTCATAACGAACGGTAGTTTTTCAATTAGCTCTTTTTTCAGTCAAGATTCGGAACAATATCTTTATCGTTTTCAGGCAAGTAGTATCCATGTCTTTTGGGCATTCCATATTCCAATGCCATCTCCCAACAATTAGTTTCATAAAACTTTAGCAGAATGTCGAAAACTTGATTGATGCTCAAAATGCGCTTGAAACTGTGTTTATTATCCGTTCGCTTATCCATTTGCATGTACTTCAGTATGGGTAAACAGGCAGTTCTGATTTTGTGAGCTGAAGCGAATTCCATGGTTTGATTCTTTTTCACCGACAAATCGACCAAGCCTCCCAAGATATAAACTCTATCGTTTTCTAAACTCTCCAAGACATTTTCAGAATCAGGGGTTAAATAAATAATTTCTTCGTTTGAGTAAACATCTAGCACACCTTTTTCATAGAAATCAATGATGTAGTTTAGAAATCCGTGATGTTTCTTGATACATGTGTCGTAAATTGGATTGTGGTGGGAAAAATTGCAGAGAATGACGTGAAATGGACGGGTAGACTTCTTGTTTGACCCGTAGATACGTTGAATATGGTCAGAAAGTTGACTGCGCTCTCGGTCGTTCATACACGAATCAAAACCTAAAATGCATACTTTTTTAATTTCTAGACCAATTCTTTCAAATCTTTGATTCGAAATTTCGATTCAATTACTGACAAATTCACATGATCTTAGAAGTTAATGAACGCAATTTTTTTTATATCATCTTTCGAACTTCCAAGAAACAAATAGATGCCTTCAAAGCACTTCGAATTTCTAGAACAATTAATGATAGGTATATTTCTGATAAAATTAACCCAATTTGAGAAAACTGGATCAAAAAGTAAAATTTTATTTCGCAGGTCATTTGATAATAAATTTCTTTTTCGAAACTAGGAGTCGATAACGTTTTTGCTTTTCGACAGTGGAGTTTACCTTTCTTTTAACAAAGGAATTGAACTGAACTTGAATAGAAATCAAAAATCAAACCGCAAAAAAAGTAAATTTGAACCTGAACAAATTTCAAGACTTTTCCAGAAACAAAGAAAAACAAAAAAAAGTCATCACGACCTATATCTTCATCGACTATGCAAACAATCAAAACTATATAAGTGAAAATCACTTCGTGCTGTTACACTTCATGAAATCAACATGACTTATACAGAGATATTCGATCTTTCGTAGACGCTTTGAAAAAGCCTAACAGCATATCCTAATCATCAAATGAACTAAGAGGTGACTTTATTAGAATTTCGAAGAAAGTTAGCATATCAGCAGGATTGAGCATATAAGCAGAATTTGTAAGAAAACTTATTAATGGGAGTCTGGTTTGAAAGCGCGCATTGGTTCTCAAAAATTTCTGAAAATTGGGTTGGCTCCGTTCAAATTTCGCCATCTTAATTAATATTTGCACTATCTTTTGCTAGGAATCGCCGCGATCTCTCCTTCAAAGCGCTATTCGATCTGGTTTTTAAAGTAACCGAATTATATCAATCAAATTAAAGAAAATTAAAAGGATACTAACTCAGATCGATGCAAACTTTTGGAGCGCTATTCTTCGCTTTTCTCAACTTCATATTTATCTCCATTTTCTGCTGATTGACCAACTCTTTCCTCGAAACTATTTTGACTTCCTCTTCTTCTTTCTCATCTGTTTTATCGTTTAAACTTTCGCTAGAAGTATTCTCTAATACTACTTTTTCGTATTTCATTTTATTCTGTAATTTTCTTGCCTCTCGATTTTTTATTCTTCGCTTCTGCCGGTAAACTAATTTCATTTCTTCTCTTCTCAACTTCCGCTGTTGGTTTTTTGAAAGTGTTTTATTGTTGTCAGCGCTTTCTGGACTATCCAAATCAACGTCAACGCGGCCATTTTCGCTTAATTTATGGTCCAAATCTTCAGTAACGGATTCAACATCAACACTACTAGCTAAATTAGATACAGTAACAACCGTATCTTGAACGATTTCCTCATTAATAGATGCCATTGCAATACTCTAAAATAGTTGACGCAACACGAAACTGAATATATCAAACCTATACAGAGGCGAAGCTGCACTTCGCTATCAAGCGGAAAAAACATAACTCGCGACCGAGCCACTGGCTTTAGACACACATATCCATGGCCTGGTGGAATTTGTTACTTTCACACATACTAAATTCTTATATCAGGCAGCATAGATTGTACTTCAAAAAGTGGATCTAGCTAAAATATACTGTTTACATAACGCATAAATTTAGCAATAGAGTAGAATTTGGTTGGGGGTAAAATAGAATGATCTATTAAACACTAGAGATTTGAACTTCTCTCACCAGAGCAAAAATCAAATCATTAGAAAAACTACCAATTTGAAGATGTTATTTACCAATTAGAAAAACCTACAACCCGCAGAAACCTGACAAATTTCGACTGCAATAGTGGTAAGTGAAAAATCAAGCCAGACTTGAGTCAGTGCATTGACACCATGAAAAATTGCATAATATCATTAATCCGACTTCGCTATAATTCTGGCTTTTGTATAAGAAACTGATTATTGTACTTGAGACCTAAATCATTATTCATTTACAGCAATAGATCAAGGCTTTTTAGATTGTTTTTGCTACCCGATTCTTTTATCGGTTTTGTATCATTGAATATTTTATTGTAAGAGTCTGTTATCTAGACAGAGGCGGGGTCATATGCACAAAGCGGCCCGAAGTCAGTAATTCTACATCTTCAAATGAAATTCATGTGTTCGAACCTGATTAGCTTATTGGCCAATCAAATTCAAACAACATGGTCCGGTATTTCAATTAAAAAATTTTGCAGATAGAATTTTTAGCCGAAATGACCAAAAACGAAAATTTTTTTCTCTGGTGAATCGATTTTACTCAATTTTTCTTGTTCGGTCAATTTTAACAAGTTTTATTTGAAGTTATATTGATTATTTGGTAAGTTTCCAAGTTTTTAGTAATTTCGGCTAAAAAGATCATTGAAATGTATGAGCGTGTTGCTTCATTTTGATTTGCTTAAATTAGCCAATCAGATTCGACCGCATAAATTTCAGCTCTAGATATAAAAACATTGATTTTGGGCCGTTTAATGCCCAAGACCCCAGAGGCGAAGCTGTGCTTCTCAAACACTAGCGAGAACACGACAAGAAGTAGATCTATAAAATGCACTGAAAAGTAGAAATGTGCCTCGAATTAGTAAGAATTCAGCTACGTCTCGGATTCGATCTGGGACCTAGATACTTTGCGTCCCACGCACTAACCACGGACGCTTAAAAATCACAAACACTAGCCACAAATTATACTGAGAACATGCTATGAAATTTCCACTGCTACATATCGCGATAGCAAAAATTCCACCAATTAAGTGAACAATTTTATTTGCGAGTTAGGTTGCAAAAAAGAAGGTTCTTACTATTACACTAACGCTCGCAAGCTCGTTATTGTTAACATAATCCTATAAGGGTAAAATTAGAAACTCGATTATCTAGGAATCTAGTCCTTTCATTTATATATCAATGGAATTTTAGTAACAATCTCCCTTTCTGAGAGGGTACCGCGACAACTCGCAAGAAAAGACAACTCGCAACAAAAGACAACTCGCAACTTTATATTCTCGGTTTAAGGTCGCCGGTGGGCACACATCGCCGCTTCACGGCGATAACCGACTCTGAATTTTGTATAAAGTCCTACCCTCTGTTGGCAAGCTCACAACACGTTGGCGCGACTACGACGGTGAGTATATTGCGAGTTGTCTTTTAATGCGAGTTGTCTTTTATTGCGATTTCTCTTTTCTTGCGAGTTGTCGCATTACGCCCTGAGAACACGCATATATTAAAAAAAAGTTCACGCTTCAACCGGCGTATCAGATTCTACTAAGAAAAAACGATACCTTTTTAGTCGAATAAACATTTTCAGATAGGAAAAAAAACAAAGTAGAAGCAAGAAAAAGTACCTCTGAGCAACAAAAAAACGCAAAAGAATCCACCTGGTACTTGAACAGTATACTGCGGATGGAAAAATCTCAGATTCTAACTCTACAGGCCCTAAATTGTATTCAATAATAAAACACTTTAAAGATAAACCTTCGTGTAAATTATGTAAATACATTTTCCAAGATGAAACAAATCAAGAACTAGATTGCAATGCGATTGCTCTCGCAAGTGCAAATAAATTCGCTCATCTTAAGCCTTGCAGCCTGAACGACAGGTTCTAGAGAAAGGGCTTTGAAAAAGCTTAAAGTGGTTTTTCATTAGCGTATAAAGTACGCAAATCAATTGCAAAAAGACTAGACTTGATTTGGAAAACTGTACTAAACTTAGCACTTTTATAACGAGTACACTTCATTGAATCCATTCTTAGCTGACTGGATCATAAAATGTTCTAGAAACCTCATTAAAACGGAAATTAAACTGAAGTCGCGCGTATAACAATTGTTCCTACTATTATTCATAAAATGCAAAGAAACGGAAAAAAATCACGTATTTGGAAATAAAAAACTTCAATTTTCGAATGTCAAGAAATTATAAAGTGCTTTTTTATCTCTTTTAGTTTCAAGTACAATTTATGATTGACACGTTTTGAAAACAAATTAATCCATTTTGAGAAAAGGGTAACCTGAGAGAAAACTGGATGAGACATTTGAGAAAAAGCTGGAAAATCTGAAACTGAAACCCACTTTGCAAGATAGAAGCTGAGCATGTTCTTCGTGACCTTTAATCTTTTGCTGTTCAATAGCGGAGTTTGCTTTCCTTTTTTGCAAAAAGGCCACCAAATAAGTAAAAACTTTCAATGAACACTTTCATTTGCGACTTAGGTTGGAAAAAGTTGAATCGTACCATCACACTACGTTGCGCTTATTTAATCAATAATTTCAATGCGTTCCTTGACACTTCAAACTACTTTTTAGGTTTTTTTAGCTGTTATTCTCAAACTCAAATGCTATTCTGAAACTTAAAAAAAGCACCAATCATTATTGCATGATTTTGTTTTTATTTCGCTGTTAAAAGACGAGCTTAAAAATCACAAATCACAGTGCCAAAAGGAAATATGAGCACAACCAATTTAATTATCCAAAAAATCACACAACCTAGATATGCAAAATTTTCATCGCTTATTAATACTGATATATATATATATATATATATATAAACAACAGACAGAAAGAAACGTGTCAAAAAACTCAAGGAGACAAAAAATATTAACTTTAATTGAACATTTTCAAATTTCCAGCTTCGAATAAAAAATATATGAGCTTTAAGCTCTTTGAAATTCAAGAACTGTTCATGAAAGGCACTTTTTTGTGAAAATAACCAAAATTCAACACATAGGCGGAGCTGCGCTTTGCAAACACCAAAGAACACAAAACGGCAGCTCTATAACGAGCAATAAGAAAAAATAGAAATAAGCCTCGAATTAGTAAAAATTAGGCTACGTCTCGGATTCAATCTGCGACCTAGAAATTATGAGTCTAGCGCACTAACCACTCAGTTAGGGACGCTTAATAAATCACCACAAACACTTGCCACAAATAAAGCAGAGAACAGGTGGTATGAAATTTCCAATGTTACAGATCGTGATTATATCAAAACTGCCACCAAATAAGTGAACACTTTTAAGGACCACTTTTATTTGCGAGTTGAGGTGGAAAAAGAAGGTTCATACTAATACACTACGCTCGCTAGTCTAAGAAGTGAATCAATGGGTAAATGGTTTTTCCGCTAGAATAACTAAAAATAAAATCCACTTTCAAAGTAGAAATCGATCAGGTTTTTCGCGCCATTTCCGCTTTCGTATTTGAAGAGCGCAGTTTGCCTACCTTATAGCAAATGAAATTCGAAATAAATTCAAGAACGTAGCAAAACATAACCAACAGACAGATGGAAAAGGGTCAATGAACTCAAGTAGACAGAAAAAATGGACTTATTTTTATGAAAAAATCTCATTATCCAAAATTTAAAGAAAAATTAGATAGTCTTAAAGCTCTTTGCATTTCTAGAACTTTTGATTGACACTTAGTTGAACAAATAAACCCAATTTGAGAATACTAAATCAATTAGTAAAGTTTCTCCTGACCTTTACATTTTGCTATACGCCTTCCTTTTAACATAGGAAATGAACTGACCTTAAAAAAAACCACAAAAAGTAAATCTGAGCCTGAACAAATTTCAAGACTTTTCCAGAAAAACAAAACGAAAATCACTACCTATATCTTCATCGACTCTTAAATAAACCAAAACTATAAGTGAAAATCACACCGTTCTGTTACACTTCATGAAATCAACATGACTTCTACAGAGATATTCACTACATTCGCAGACTCTTGAAAAAGCGTAACAGCGCTTACGTAACCTAATCGTCAAAAGAACTAAGAGGTAATTTTATTTCAATTTCGAAGCAAATTAGCATATCAACAGAATTGAGCATTAAGCAGAAATTGTACGAAACTTGTTACTGGGAAAAAAAGTCTAGTTCCCGATTAAAAATACTGTCATTTAAACTATGTTTTCTAAACGTCGGGCTTGATAGACCTATAACTTATATGAATATTTCAATCCCAGCTTAAAATACTATTCAAGCTCATTCTATACTTCAGTACCAATTAAAGCTTTTGGGTGAAAAAACAATTTCAAGGAAGAAGATATTTGTTACATTAATCATAAATAACACAAAATATCAACAACTGACAAATAAAACCAGGAAAAACGTTTGTTGCATCCAACAGATTGTGGATCAATATAATACATCATCAAAAAAACTGAGCTTAACATTCAGACATCATTAAAATGAAATAATCAACAACGTAGCTATAGTATTGCATCGTGGGTGGTGTTTTAGGTTAGGCATCGTCTTTGGCAGCTTTCCGTTTGGATTTTCGTGCGGCATCGTCAACCGGCTCGATCTGAAATATATTTGAAAGTCTTCTAAATTTTTAAAGCTCGAATTATGCAAAAAACCGAAACAAGCTTGCAGTTTGATATACATTTAAGCAGGAGCGGATCTACGATTTTCTCGAGTGGGGGAGGGGGATGTTGGACACTTTTTGGTTTTTTTTCGGCGCGCATTCCCCCTCGATATTAGTTTAGGAAGCACCCCTGCACCTAAGGGCTGTCGGAATAGATAAATAATTACTTTTTTATCCTCATGTTTGCGTTTTCTGGCAGGCGATGACGAATCAGTAGAGTTTTCCCTCGAGTTTGCCCTAGAGGACGAGGATACTTTGGTTGGAGCTGCTGCTTTTGTTTCTTGTTTTGAGGAGTGGGTAGTTGCATCAGACGTCTAAATAAAATATTTGTGGTTTCATAAATAGATTCGAATTGTCGGAGTGAATCAGGTTCAACAGCGTTGGACTATCAAACAACTCATCTTTCTTAAATCGCAAAACTCAAAAACAGTCTTCTATTCAGAAACATAACCTTATTTAACTTAAAGATAACTAACAGAAAAACTTAAGCTTCTTAGTAGCGGAATGTTCCGACGTACAATCGTGCGAAATTTCTTCAGTAAAAAAATTTTTTTTTATTCACACAAAGTATACCAAAGAAATTATATCGTTGAGTTTTAATTGATGTATTAATTTTTTGTCAAATCAGAGCTCCCTGTTAAATTTAGCAATAATTGAAATTTAGGTATTAAGTGGGTACCTACCACCGAAATTCGATTGTCGGATCATCTAGTGCTACTAATTTTCATACGAAATTTCACATCAAGATTACCATTTTTAACCACGGGTCGCTTCAATGTAACCTAAGTGAATTAAAAAACATTTCAGTATTTTCATTTTAAGTTGTAATCGTCAACTAGAAAGAACTAACTGACTTATTTTTTCGATTGCAAAACAATAGAGAACTCAAATGCCCAGGTGAATCAATACTGTCGATGTTCTTGATTTGACCTCTTATGTTAGGGCCAGTCAATCGAGAAAGGAGGTAGAAATCAAATTTGTTGGTTCAGTTTGTTTCGATCAGCCAGATAAGTGATTGTCATAGATGAATTCATTTGTTGAAGGTGCAGCCATTTTCAATTTAGGCCAATGAGCGGGCGAATTCTGAGTGGAACAAAATCATATCACACCTTGTCGACTTTTCTCTTCTTCGAATCTGAAACAAGAAAAAGTACAGTCAGCCAAACCAAATAGTAGTCATTAAAACCAAATCATCTAAAAAAACGAACTAACTAAGTATCTATTATTTAATTTTAAGTCGTTTCTAATATTTAACTGTCAGTCGTTTTCAATTGCTATGGGTGACATGTTTGACAATTTAACACTCGTAAAGAAGCATTTCACCACAGTCACATCTCTACTTTGACAAAAATTTGCTCATAAATTTGATGTTTCAGACAACCTTTAGAAGCGAACTCTTCTGCTGAAATAGGTCAACTGATCTTTTTGATTATACGCTTTTTAGTCGGCGTAGGGTCCGTTTTAAAATTTTTCTGGACAATTTTGACTAACTGAAGGAAAGCTCGTACGGGCGTCAAGTAGGGTATCATATTTAACCTTTTGGTCGTGATTCAGATTTCGAAAATACAAAAAAATTCTCTCAAAGTCGAAGAAAAATTTGTCTGAAATTTATCGTTGTTCAGACTATTTAGACAAAGTTTGAGACGTTGACCTCCAAATTCGATTCGAGTACAATTCCAAAATTTTATTTTATCTATTATAATTTCTCGTTCTTTCCTTTTTTTTAACCACAATTCAGTCACTTTTAAGTTTTTAAAGTAGCATAAGCATTTCGAACTTCTACACTTGATTATTTGTGATCGGAACATTCTTGCTACTTGCACAGCATCCGGTTATCCGAGTTATATTTCAAGTTGTTTTGATATAATTAGAAGCGAAGTTACGGAAAAAAAACAGACTTTGTTGAAAAAATCTCAACTTTCGAATTTCAAAGAAAAAAAATAGATGCCTTTTAAGCTTTTTAAATCTCTAGAACAATTTTTGATTGGCACTGTTTTGATAACATAATAATCCAACTTGAGAAAACTGGATCAACACGTAAAGTTTTCATTCCGCGGAAAATCTAAAAATTAAATTCCTCTTTCGAAACTAGAAACCGTTCACCTTTTTTGCGCCATTTCCACGTTCGTATTAGGAGAGAGCTAATTACGAAACTTTCAGCAGATGAATTTCAATTGAACTCAAAAGTGCATATATATTTAAGTAATTTCATAAATGCATTATTATGTATGGATGCACATCTGTAGTTATTAGAACATTTTAAGAATTTTCACTGAAAAAAAACATATATAAGAGTCTTCACTACGTTCATTACTCCTAATAAAAGAAATGACTTCAATTAAATAATAGATATAGAAAAAACGCAATTTATCTCGTCTCTCAAGAGTTAAGCTTCAAGAGCAGTAGCGTTTACTTACCCGCAGTTGTAGACGACGATGAGCCTCCCGAGGAGCCTTTCTCAGTGCCATTGGCAGAAGCTCCTGAAGCCAAATCAGCAGCCGCAGGTCTCTTAGACGACGAAGACGCACTCCCATTGGCCAGTTTGGACGATGAACTGTCGGCTGATGTCTCCTTCTGCACACTGGACGATCGGCTGGTCGACGCAGCCTTCTGAGTCTCTCGTTTGATCGTCGCTTCATTCTGCTTCATCTTCTCTTGTTTCTTCATCCTCTGAATCATAGGACAGGGGTAACATTATGATGTTCAAAAAGTTGAGGGCACTTTTCAGCGACCAAACTGTCCATTTAATCTACCTCTGATTCAATACTGGTTAGTATATCAGTTAAATTTAGCTGCATCTTTGAATTCGGGTCAGAGAAATTTTTGTTTCTTTCTTTCACTTCGTCAAGGACACTTAAAAACAGTCTACTTACATCTGACTTGTCGTGGAACTGTTCTTCGGCCATCAGCTTTGACTTCTGAGTCTTCATCTTGACCACGTACCTAAACAAAAGAACCAAATTTCAATTTGAATCCTGCTTTTATTTGAAAAACATTTCGTAATTAGTCAATCAGCCGGTGGCAAATTTTCAGAAAAATATAATTGGATCACAAGGAAGTTTTTTTTCCAACACAAATGTTTCGTTTTGTGAACAAATTCCCAATCCAAGGAAAATGAAAGACCCTGCATTTTTTCAAATTTCGGAATTATTTAGTTTCGGAACAACTTTATCAGCACAGTTTTAGGTTGATTAATTAATTTGTAGGTTGTGCTTCGAACTAATTTTTATTTTTATAGATAGTTTCAATTATCAATAATATTTGTAGAAAAAAAACTTAAAAAGGTTTGAAGACGCTAAAAACAAATGTTATTGGGATTTTTATCAATTATATCCGAGAACAAAAACTTACGCCATGCAGAGACTTGACAAGTCTGGCCTGGAGTCTTTCTCGTCCAGCCTGACTTTGTCCACTCTCTTCTCGATGGCAGCCGCCAGATGGGCCACTTTGGGGAAGTAGGGCAACATTCTCGTCAGCAGGATCACTGTGTTCCTCGTCTGGATGTAGTCCCCACTCTCCAGACACTGGATCAAGTCTCTGGCCACCTAACACAGGAAACATCCAGAACTCAAGGCTACTCATATTTCACTAATAAATATTTCTCTGAAATAAATTCTTTCAATGAAAAATTTAAACAAACAGTCGGTCGAATGATTTCTTCAATTTTGAAATATTCAATATCAACGAACGATATAATTGAAATCTTCGTCGAATTAGAACTTCTACATTATTTCAGGTCACTTCTTACGCTCTTTTCAATAAAAAAAAAATTTTGAACCTTAAAATTTGAATAAATTCTGACCTTGAACTGCCATTTGTAGCAGACATGTCTGAAGTTCTCGTACTCCAGAATGGCCTCACTCTTGTTGGCCGCACTGCTCGTGTCCTTCCTGATGGTCATGAAGAAGCCAGGGTAATTGCTGCACTCCTAATAAATACACCACGTAAAATACAGGAAAGCTGAGAAATTACATGGTTAGAGATATAGCTTCTGCATTATTCGAGGTTCTACATTATTCGATGGCTCGCCTTATGCACACCCAATAAATAGTAGCGAAAAAAGCTCATTAAAAAACCTCCTAGCCGAAAAAAAACAATTGAGAGCATTTACATACGATATAATTGGGATCTTATTCAAGATCAGGGGCGGATATAGGATTTTCTCGAGGGGGGCCGGATTTTCAAAAAATTTGTCGACCTTTTTTTTAGGTCGTCCAAATTGATTTTCCGAGCTCTCCCAATGCACTAAATAGACCCTGTTTTGGCGAAATTTTCTGCGCCGGAGGCAAAAGCTGGTAAAAACAGGCCAAAAATGCCGTTTTTAGGCACTTTTTAGAAAATTTTGACCAAAAAATTGCGTTATTTTGGTGCGCTCTCCCCCCTCGAAATTAGTATGTATTGCCGCCAAAAGCTTCTAGAAAATTTCTAGTCCGTCAGTACAATAGAACAAACAGTACAAAGGGGACCCTTTGGGTAGGCAGGGGGTCGAATTCCTGAGGGGGGGGGGCTAAATCCGCCCGTGTCAAGATGCAGGTTCAGAAATTATTCCACCTTTCAAAACTTCGATCTCAAATTTGTATTTTTTTTCTTTTTATTTGGAACAATCCATTTATGGAGCAGCTTGTTCACTTGGTAAAATCAATTTTATTCAGATAATCAGAAATCAGCGTTTGTTTGCGGACTAACCGATTAAATTCGACGTTTCCTATTAGAAATGATCTTTCTCTTGATTAGTTTGGAGGCTAAAATGTTTACATCCTCGAGCCCATGTTAGGGTTGATCGGTGAAAATGTTTACCTTGTCATAGATTGCCTTGTCCGAGTGCCACTTCAGGATGATTTCCCACATTGAGTAGAGGAATCTACCGTAGCGACTAGCTTCATTCTCCGTGAAACTGGCCACGTTGTAGATCAGGTCCGAAAACACCTACATATCAAATAGATAGAGATCAGTTTGGACAAATTGGCAGAGTTAAAAACCTTATACAAACTAAATGAATTTTTATTGTTCCGACTTTCGATACGAAAGTAACGGAATATTTGTGCCGGGTGGGTTTTTTTTCTGACAAATTTCGACTTTTTAACTAGCCATTTTTGACGGAATTTTTTTATATCATTCGAAAGATATTGTTATCCTGAGCTTAAATTTGAAAAGATATCTCACCTGTGATCATTTTTCCTTAAGTTACGGGTGTTTAAAGACTAGCATTTTGGCCAATTTGGGACAACTAACGCGCGATATATTTCGCGCTATTAACGCGTAAGCGGAGATTTAATCCGTCTTAGAAATTGTTCCAAATTGGTTGAAGGAAGCTTATTTGCCATAATTGATTTGTTAGTAGAAGCGAAATTTATCACTTAGTACTTAATATGGCGTGTGGGGGGATGATTTTCACGAAAAAAATCAAATTTTTTTTAGAAAACTTTTTTCATTTTATTTTCTTTTTTTTTTACATTTAATTTTTTGATATTACTACTGCTTCATAGACCTTAAAAGGCAGTCGGAACATTCAGGGCTTCGCCCTGATACTAGCAGTCTTGTTGGACTTTAAAAGCCATCAGGAAAACTCAAATTGATGAGGAGTTTTCAAATAAGGAGTAATTAACTATTTAGCTTCAAGTTACTACATTCCAACTTTAAAATATACACACTAGGAACAAAACAACATATAGGCGAAACTGCGCTTCGCAACAATAGCAAGAACACGACAAAAAGCAGCTCTATAAAGAGCAATTAGAAACAGTAGAAATAGGCCTCGAATTAATAAAAATTTGGATATATCTCGGTTTCGAACCTACGCCCTACTGCGACCTAGAGATTATGAAGCTCACGCACTAACCACTCAGCCACGGACGCTTATTTGATAACAAACACTAGCCACAAACAAAGAAGAAAACATATGCTATGCAATTTCCAATGCCACAGTGAAATTTCCATATAAGTAAACACTTTCAATGAACACTTTTATTTGCTAGATTAGAAAAAAGAAGGTTCGTAGTAATACATTACGCTGATGGCTAGTGTAATGATATTCAATATGTGTATAATTTATTGTTTTTGTTCCTAATAATAATTCATGTGCTTCGCAAACTGTCGCATGGTTTACTAACCCGGTCGAAGCAGAGGATGGTTGAGAAATTCACTGCCTGAAGACTGTGGATTATCTTGATGAACAAGGCACAGAACACGGCATCCGAGGCAGAAAATAAGCACCTATGAACAGAAAATACATTCACATGTTCCGCTCAAGTCTCCGGATTATTCGTGATTCAGATTCGTGAAATAAATCAGAGAAGTTGTCTCAATGTCAAGAAAGTCTCGTCAGATATTTTGCGTTTTTCAGACTGATTCTCAAACTAATTCGATTCACTCCCTATCTCACTCATTCACAAGTTTTGCGTTGATTTATAATTAACTCAATATTTCTTTTAACTGAGAGTTTAATTTCCATTTCTCAGATCTTCAGTTTCAGAAGAACCTTCCAAACAATTACGCCAGCGACCCGATATTAAGATGCTCTATTTGGAAGAGGAGGAGGTTAACTTGATCCCTTTCAGCTTCTATTTATACGCACCTCTGGTATAGGCAGAACTGTTGTATGCGGACGATGCACTCGCTCTTAGCTGTCTTGTTGGGGAACCAGTGTTTGGACTCTGACTTGAGTCTGAACATGACTCTGGTCACGTGGTCCAGCTGTTTTTGCTGCTCTTCCTTCAACTTATCCACCATCGCACTCAACTTGTCCTTCTCTTTCGTCTTCTTACTATCACTCTGCACATACACACAAATTTTTTTTATAGTTAACGCTGTAAATCCGTAAACTTCATAATAATCTGCACAATTCACGCGAGGAAAAAATCTTTAAACGCAAGAAATGCTTAGCGCAAAAAACATCCGTAATTTTAAAATTTATTTCTTTTATTAACGCAAAAATAAGCTTAATTTAAGGCTAACTTAACTTTTTGTAACAATTTTATTTGCTTTAAAAAATTAATGGCAACATTTTGGCAATACCAGAGACACTGAGCAACTTAATTGGTAAAAAAAAACCCTGCTTTTTAAACTAAAGACATTTCTGACACGGTTTTTAGTGGCTAAATTCTCGAGGTAAAACTTAATTCTGATGTTAAAATGAACAGTATTATAGGTCAACTAATTTCGTTAAGATTCGTTATCCGGAAAGGAGATTGACCTGATTTTGTCAATTACTGAACATACCCAGTCGCTCCTGGCGTCAATAGCTGTCTTCTGGTTATTCAACTTATTTGCCTCCTTGTCATACACATCCACCGGCACTCTTATGTCATAGAGGGAGAGGGACCAGAAGGTGAAGTAGAATTGGGGGGTGACGTGGTCGAATAGGAGGGAGGTGCAGGGGTCACTCTGCAGTACTGGAAGGGATGCCGTCATCACTGACTCCATCACTGCGTCCACTGCCTCTTTGTACTTCTTAACCACTATCTGCAAAACAACATGATGCAAAAATATTGATTCGCTGCTAGGCTGTTTATACACGAGAGAAAGGACCCAAAATCAAGCTGTTTAGTTCAATACGAGCAATCACTTTTATGCTGTGCATATACAAATCAGTCCCATACAAAACAGTCCAATACAAAATAGTCCAAAAAATCATGTAATGAAATAAAAACAGTCCGATACAAAACAGTCCGGTTTAAGGCCACCCGTAAGCGGCTCAAATTAACCGGCTCTAAATGCTGTATTAAGTCCTACCCTCTGTTGGCAAGCTCGCAACACGTTGGCGCGACTGCGGCAATCACTATTTTGTTCTTTATGTTTGTTGAACAAGGGACAATTCTCAGCCTACCGGCTTGTTAAAACAATTATTACTTGGGACTGTTTTTCGGACTTATTTGTATCGGACTGTTTTTTCGTTCATTTTTTTTCGGATTGTTTTGTATTGGACTGTTTTGTATGGGACTGTTTTGTACAGACACGTTTTATGCAGAAGTTTCCAACTCGCTTTGCTTTGATGCGTATGAAACAGCAATGAAACTAAGTTAACATTCGTGATGCACTTGAATTCCTCGAATCCATTATAAAATTTGTGGCAGTAGAAGCAAAAGTGCACGAAACGAGATAGATTTTTCTTGTATGGTTTCAAATGTGCACGAAACGAAATAGATTTTTCTTGTATGAAGAAAATTCTACTGCAGACATTTACTTGTATCGTTGTTTTCTCTAAGAATTGCTTCAAACGTATGCTTGAAAAAATATATACCATAACCACGCTTCAATATATACTTCCCAAAGAAATATTTAAGCAGAGCCTTGCTCAATCAATTACAAACCATCTGTTGCTGAAATTTTTCTTGATTATATTTTTTGAAGTTGTGACACGTTAAATAACAATGGATATTTGAAAAAAGCTCTTTTAGAAGGGCCCATTCGACAATTGTACTTATATTTAATTGTTCTTCAGCCTCTCGGCTAATCCTTTCAATACTACCGATGCTTACCCTATCTGCAAGCTTTCCATCTTCAGTTTTTGCTCTCTCTTCTTGTTTCATCTCTTCAAACTTCAAATTAATCTGCCTTTGGAACTTAATTCGACTCAGTGAAAAAGCAGCATCAGGAGACAATCCATAATTCCCTAGCAATGCGTCAAACGCAGGTAGCGACGCCATCTCGTCCAGATTCTGACTCAAGTCTAGGAACTCCAGCATCTGGACCAGACAGTCCTGAGACTGGTCATACAGAGAGCCAATCAGCTTCAAGTGTCCCTCTAAACCCTCTTTGAAAACGACTGAGTTTCTGTGATTTGAGAGCAGCATGCAGAGTGGAAATGCGATGTTAAGTTCGACCATCGTGTCTTTCAGTCGTTTTGAAGACTTTTGACACGCGCGCACTTGTCCTTGATACGCCGCCTGTAACAATCGATTTTCAATTTAAGGTGAAAAATGCGCAAAACCTCAAATCCGAACGCGATTCAAGTACCAATCAGAATGGAATCATTCAATGTGATATCTTTGATTGCCACGATACTCCAGTGAGTACTTACACTACTGGTTTAAGGCAGTTTAAATATGATTTTTGAGCTTGCAATATTGCCTGCCAAACATACAGTTAATTTATTCACGTCCTTTTTTCTTCTCCATTTTAGACGTCTCAGACTGCCCGCCAGTTAATTTTTACCCGCTTTCCTTCCCATTTAATTTTTTCCAAGGTCATTATTTCATTTAAACTACTTCAACCCTTGCTTTCTCTTGCTGCAATACTTGCCTCAGACTTGAGCAATTCCCCTCCTCCGAGTGCGAACAACTCATCATTAGTGATATCTTCAAACACAGTGACCCCACTCATCTTACTCAGCAGTTCCTTCAAGATGACCAGATCAAAGTTCCTCTCTGCTTTCAGCTGATTGGCTATGTACTGCAAGAGTCCAGCGGTGTCGAACACGTACTTCTTGCAGATTAAACCAATGAACACTGCTAGACCTAGAACGGAGAAGGAAATTTGAACGCCTGGTTGTCTAGAGTATTCGATAATCTTCACTCTGCAGTATTGAAATTGCCAGCAAACCAAATCGCTCATTTTCAGGAAAAAAATCACTCATTGCAATTCGAAGGATACAAATTATTAAAAAACAGGATACGTTAGATAGTTGCCAGACTAAATCAAGTCGGCCCCCTCATCAATCATGAAGCAAATCTGCAATATCCTTCAAACAATCCCATTAATAAGTTATCTCGCCAAAACTACCTTTATTTTTCACTAGGTTTTGCGAAGTATTTCACAATATCAGGTGTAGGCACTCACTGTTGAGCCATGGTGACAATGACGCATTAGCTTGATTGATCTTCTCCTTGGCCGGATTGCCTAGTTCCTCAACCAGAGTGTAAATCATAATGTCAATCGAGAGCTGCGAAAACAACTTCAGCACATCCGCCATTGGTCCATTCAGATTATCGTATTTCTGCAGTTGTGCAATCACATGATCAAATGCCACTAAAGGGTTGCAGAAAGCGAGTTTTGCAATATGGCGTCCGATGCTTTTGACCGTGTCTTTAGTGAGCCTTTTCATCAGGTACTTGATCCGGTCCACTACTTCTGCTTTCTTCAGAATGAGAAGGGGGTCTGAGGCGTACACTTGCGATTTCCAAAGGTAGTAAAGATGGTATCTAGAACAGTGAAAAGTAGTGTAAGGCCTAGAAAGTTTTAATGATCCCGAAATGCTATATTTAAAAATTTGAATGCAGAGGGGAACTGAGCTTCGCACCACTTGCGATACAAAAATGAATGCATGTGATAAAAATCAAATGAAAAAAATTAAAATAGAAAAAAAAAGCCAAATTATTGTTTTTGTCAATAAAAAAATTATAACAAAAGCACAAAAAATCCGGTAAAAAATGCAGACACCATTAGAAAAATTACAAGGAGACTTGAAAAATGCCGAATGTAAAAAAATCCTTAATGCGGAACTAAGCGGAAAAAAATAAGCAGACATACCATAATCTAGGCCAGCCGAAAACTTTCAGTTTGCAAAAAAAACAGGTCCACTGAAATCGAACACCCGGGTTTTGTCGTCTCAAGCATGGGTTTCACAGCACCTTGGAAGAAAACTGAACCTTCAAAAAAAGTCAGGCTACGTTAACTAAGCCGTTAAAAATAAACGAACGGACGATAATCACATAAACTACGAGAACTCAAGTTTGGAAAAAGCAGGTCGCGTTTGGATTCAAACCGGCCTCTGCCGTCTCAAGCATTTGTTTAACTCTACGCCAATTGTGCCAGATGGTTGATTGAATTTAAATTTAAAACTACCAAGCACACACACACACACACACACTTTTCGGTCATCAAACGACGCAATAAGAGGCCATCAAAGTTATATAAAATAAATTGAAACCTATTAAGCCGAAAAAAAAAGTATAATTTTAACAAATCGAATTGATAAAATTACAACCAACATAAAAAGCAAACTCCAATTAAGCCATTTATTATAAATGCTATCATGTTAAAAGTATTTCTGTTGCAACAGAAAGGCCCAGTAGATGCATAAATCCAGCAGATGGATGAGTCCTATGAACAAGCTACGCATCACAAAAACTAGCGAGAACACGACAAAAAGCAGATTTATCTAAGCAGATTTATCTAATAAGAAAAAATAGAAACAAGCATCGAATTAGTAAAACTTTGCTGCGTATTGGCTTCGAATAGGCGATCTCTAGAATTGAAGTATCACACCCAGGCCTCTTGGCCACGAACGCTTAAAAATCGGTAAACAACAGTCACAAATAAATCAGCTACATGCTAATAAATTGCCAATGCCATGCAGCAAAAGTGGCACTAAATAGAAATAGACACAATTTTGCAAGTAATAATTTGGAAGATAACAAAACGAAGGCATCCACACTAACTTTGTGTTCTGAAATCGAGTTTTTTTATTGTTATGTTGTTTAAACCAAATAACTTTTTTCGATTCATTTGATGAATTAAAAATGCATCAACTGGGTTAACCTATCACTAATCGAATGTCAAAGCATATGCTATCTAAAAGCCGTTAAGCTGTTACCAAAAATTAGCACCAATATTTGCGACTTAGCTTAAAAAAGAATAGTCGTACTAAAACATTAACGCTCACTAAAGTTGCTAGTGTAATAACGAATTTTCAAACAAAATTACAAAGTGTAATTTCAAACAAAGTGTAAACTGCATATTTCTATGTAGCTCGATAATAACAATTAGAAGCAAGCAGCAGTTAGTGATAAGTTATTAAGGAACTTAGAGCGTTGAGCTGTAATGGTATATCAGTTAGTTAGCACAATAATTTTATCACTTTACCTGTCGTGGTAGGGCAGATACTGTACGGCACCCCAGAGCAGCTCCGAGTAGAAACAGGAGGCATTCATCAGACTAAGAGCCGGTAACATGCAGCAGTCCAGTATCTTCAACCACGTCTGAGACACCTTCCGCTGCAAAGAGAAATTTTTTCAAGAATTTCGACAGCTTTCATTTGAGACACAGCAGAACTTCGCTGAAATTGTGATGCAAAAAAAATCTTTGCTAATATTCAGGCGTTGCAATGCCTAAAAGAAAACACTAGCGACAGCTTTCTAAATGAAACTTACCTTTTCAAGAGTAAAAACAGTCAGAACACAATTAATTCATAAAAACTCATTTGACAAGATCAACCCAGGCAAAACAATCAAAAGAGAAAAATTAGCGAAAACCAAAACATTGCTTCCTTGCAACAAAGAGACAATAAATTCTCGAAAAGCTTGGATAAAAAATCGACTCAAAATTTTATAGTTGCAAACAGATTTTCTACTACGACAGAAATTTCGTCCTAAAAATTGAAATATTAGGTCCTATTTTAATATACCAGCAGAATTCCTTCCTCTTTTAAAACACAAATGAAATTAATTTGGGAATGTTTTGAAGCTCGAAATCGGGTTGTTGCGAGCTTGTCCGTCCCAAAAAACAAACTACTAATGAAAATGACCAGCGTTTATCGTTTATTTTTTTTTTAGAAAAAGTAATTAATTAACAGAGTTGGAAAAGTGTCAATGAACTCATAGATACTGAGAAAAAAAATGGCCGACTCTTGAGTTTCAAAGAAAAAAATATACGCTCTTTGACTTTCAGAAACAATTAATGATTGACATTTTTTAAATTGAAAATCTATGTAAAAACTAGATTAATAGGTTTTACTCCACGGCGAAATCTACATAGCAAAATTCAATAAGAAAAAGTAGAAACAAGCATCGAGTTAGTTAAAATTCGGCTACGTCTCGGATTCGAGCCTGCGACCTCGAGATTAAGAGTCTCACACACTAACCACTCAGACATGGACGCTTAATAAATCAAAAACAGAAGTCAAAAAGAAAGCAGTAAACAGGCACTATGCAATTTCCAATGCCATAATGAAATTTCTAAATTAGCGAACATTTTTATTTGCCAGTAATAATAGAAAAAAAAAGGTTCGCACTAATACACTAACGCTGCCTAGTGTTAAAAAAAACTAAACTGCAAAACTTTTGAAAGTAGAAAACGTTCACGTTTTTGTTATCTTCACAAAAATGTCTTTCTATAATGAAGTTTGCCTTCCTTCAAACAAGGGAAATTATCTGAGCTCAAATAGAAATAAAAAGTCAAACCGCAAAAAAAATTGAACGCGAACAACTTTGGAAACAAAAACAAACACAATCTATGAAAAGATGTTAACCTTCATTGGTTCAGTGTCTCTTGGGAATTGAGCTCCTTGATAGCTTCCTTTTAGCACTAAAAAAACATCTTAGCACTAGAAAAACATCTTAGTACTAGAAGAACATCTTTAGTCCTTCATGAGCAGCAATAGATAGACAACGATTCTACTAATAAGTCGGAGAAGTAAACAAATAATAACTGGTTACTTTATGAATTTACACTTGCGATAGCAAGAGTTTTATAAACAGATTTCTTTCTGCTTTCCTGGTGCTAACTTTGTCTGAATAATACGTCTTTGAAAGAAAATGGCTCGAAAAACGGCGAATTTGGGAACCCGCAACAGTATTTGAGGAATCCGGAACAATTTGTGAAATCCAAAAATAAATAATAAAACATTGATATAGTAAAGTTGAGCTGTTGCGGAATCCGCAACTGTAAGCGGAGTCCGCACTTTGTTAGCGGATTCCAGTAACATTTATATTTACGTCTTGAAATTATATTGTTAAAATAAATTTTTTTGTGGGTCATCAGCGAGACTGTCCAACAGTTCAATCTCATTTAATGCCAACAGTTCGAACTAACCAGCTAAATCTCAAACTGAAAGAATGAACACCTTTCCGGTCTCAAATACTAAAACAATGAACACCTTTCCGATCTCAAATACTGAAAAAATGAACCGTTTTCCGATCTCAAATAGTGAAAGAATGAAAACAAACTAAGTGAACTAATTCATAGATTATAAGGCTGAATAATAATAATTTTCATTTATTCCAAACGCTAAAGGGGTACATCCACAATTTCAGGCGAAAATGACTGACATTTGTTATTGGATTCCAGGAACAAAAGTTAAATCCGTATTTGCTAGATAATGATTGTTCGCACAAGGACTGGTTCAGTTCAGTATCTTCAAGAAAACTAGGATCCACGTATATTTGCGGAATCCGCTTACATTTGCGGAATCCGGAACACCTAGCTATATTCGCTCGTTGCGGAATCTGCGACAAAAACGTAATTTATGTGCCGAAAAATTTAATTTGATACCACACTAAACTCCTTATAAAGCTGTACTTGAGGAAGTCAACACCAGAGAAGAAAAAACAGACCCTACGCCATAATTCCTTTACTTCACTTTGTGAAGTGGTCGGAACAATAAAACATTTTTGGAAAATGCACTCCCATGTGCTCGTTCCCTCGGGTTGACATAACTTAGGTCACAATCAGACTTACCTCGCATGGTCCTTTCTCAGCTTTTTCGGAAGACTGAAACAAACATTTCAGGAGTGAGTAGCCAGAATTTCAGATTGCATAGGTCTGTTTCATTCTGCTGGAAATATTGTGTTCAAGTTCTTTTATTTTAGACAATTTTATCTGAATTAAGCTAGTATTAGCGAACGAAAAAAAATCGATTATATCTTGTAAAATGAGTATATTTTTACCTCTTTCAACGATGCTGTCGCCATCCTGGCCAACTTTACAAAGAGAATCGGATCCTCGCTCAAAGAAGCGCCCAGCGTCATCAACATATCCGCAACTTCACCATGCAGATCTCCGAAGTCAGTGACAGGTTTGAAAGGTGATTCAGTTTCTTTGGTCTTCAGTGGCGGGGAGGATTGTTGTTGTGATGCAACCACGGAAGCTGGAGGAAGACCTCCGAGTCCAAACTCCTTGCACACCCTAGAAACATGATTGGTTCACAGAGCCAAACAACTGCACAACTCACAGATCCAAACAACAAGTCTACGGGCAAAGCAAAAACAAGCAAATACATGTCAAACGGGAGCTTTAAAAATGTAAGAAAAATTTAAAATATATATATATATATATATATATATATATATATATATATATATGTACATAGGCTTTTGAATAAAAAAATTATCCTCTAGTGGATTCGAACGTCCCATCTCGGAATTAGAGTCTCATATCTTGCTAACTGCGCCAGAAATCCTTTCTGCTTTCAAACACTAGCCACCAATAATGAAGCTGATGAAACACATGCTATTAAATTGCCATTGCTAAAAATGGGTTCGGGAAAAATTGGTTGTGTACAAAAACAAGAGAAGCCCAAAAGTAGCTAGGACGCTGTGCAAGTAGCACAGAATGATCCAATCACAATTAGAATAGAACAAAAGTTTTTTTTAACCGATTGAAATGATACAGTCCCAGATTGTAGTATGCACTCACACCATATTGATTAACCGTTCATAAGTTATGATAAGATAAATTGTTCATCGTGTTTATCACTCTTCGTCTTCAAACACTTTACAAGTGAAGGGGCTTCAATATGATAGTCACTTAACCTCCGCGTGAGTTTTCTTTGAGCCAAAATTGTCTTAAAACATTAAACATACGCCATAGTTCTTTCCCATTTTTCAGAGATATTAGACACAGAAAGATGCAGGGCTTTGCGCAACTTGCAATACCACACACATATAGCATTGTAAGCTAGAAGACAGAAAATAAAACAAAAGCCACGAAGTCGAAAAATAATTAGAACATTTCGAAAAAACCATAACTTAAAAGTCAATGATGTTCAATTTAAAAACACAATAACTGGCTTTTAATAAGTATTCAGACACAAAAATTGATCGGCAACTAAGCCGACAAAAGTTGGTTAGACTCCCGTTGCGCAAAATTGTTTCCAATTAAAGAACTCTTTAAAGTTCCGAAAATCTAAATTTTTACGCTCCGCCCTCCGGAAACACGCAAAAGCGTAAAAATCTATTTTTCTGTAAAACAACGCTTAAGTAGCTCACTTACTCGGTAAAACATAAGCTAAAACAATTGACAAAGGACCTTTACCACCTCAGGCGTAGTATTTTTCCCAAAAACTATGTTTGCCTGAAAAGCTACTGAAGTTTGATTTTGATGCAAGCCCAGCTATCACATGTTTTTCTGTAAATATTTTGTAAAGCAAGAAAATTCCGTGATGCGACAACTAAGCCGAGAAAACATAATCAGACTAATCATACTCCGAAATTTTTTTGAAACGGATTTTTTTTTCAAAACCTTAAGACATTACTTCGTAAAAGAACTGTCAGTAGTAACAGTAGACCGGTAGAAATTGAATTTGCACGTGAACGAAGTCTAGTGATTCAAGTGATTTTGTTCAACAAGTTGTTAACCCGAAAAAAGTCTATATTCCAGTTTGATAACGCTTGCTTATCGCAAGCGTAAAGAAGTACATGAAACAAGCTCTAACCTCTTGTAGAGCGGGTCTATCAGTTTATGAATCATCTGACACAAATTATAGGCAATGTCTCCAAACGACATTACATAACTACACGGAATCGGTAATAGCTCCAACATTTCGTTCACATGTTCCCAGTCTCCCATCAGCACTAACTGTTGAAGGACTCCCAGTTTTTGATTGTCTCCGAACTCTGGCGGGACCTGCAACGACTGTACTTCTTTTGCGTTCTCTTCCGCGACAGTTTCGCTCAAAACTACAGCTGTTAATTTTCTCGCAGCTTGTCTGCAGTTAATCACATACTTCTTATAGCTTTCATTCATTTCTTTGTCAGCTGGTGTGAGCTGTGCGTACATGTCTGAACAAATAACGGCACCTTCGCTGATCAACATGGCTGTGACTTGTAATAACGATTCGGGAGTTTTTCGGGTTACATTTATCATCGATTTGAAATGCTGCAGTTTGAATCCCAGAAACTGCGAAATGTTGCTACCGACTCCAAATTCTCGCATGACTTGAATGAGGAACTTTTTGTTTTGAGTCTGACATTCGATCACTTCCAAGAGAATGTCAATCACACGGTTTGGGTCAAGGTTGAATTTTCCTGAAATTAAGATTAAACTAAACTTCTGTTCACGTATCCCGGTCCACTGTACATAACTATACAAAAACGTCGGTTCATACAACCTTCCAGAACCACCGTTAATCTTATCGCTTCAACAATTTCTTCATGCTTTCCTTCCTAGTTAAAAGTACTTTTTGGAGCAGAAAACAGATCTTTCGTACAAAATACTTTTATTAAATAATTTTATTCTGCTTCATGTTTTGGATAAAGAGTGCCAACAATCTGTTGGTTAAACGCGCCCAATTTCGGAGTCAGTTAACTAGAAAGTCATTCATAGCTTTGCTGTTTTATATAATGCTAAATATTTGAAGAAAAAACTTCAAAAACTATAAATTTGAAAAAGTTTATTAAGCTTATGAACAACACTTTTTGAAGCAATCAAGTTGCCGAAAAAATAAATCCATTAAAATAGGACCCAAAGTAAAGTAAAAGCAGAGCATTAGGAATTTCTCCAAGAGAAAACTCGGCGAAGATTAATTACGTGAAATCAACATTTCTTACCGACTAGACTTTTGAGGTTGCATGTAAACTGGGAGGGAGACCCTGGCATCGGATCTTGGTTCAACTCCGTGATGAGTTTACTGTATCCCTCGTTCTCCTCGCGCAGCATGTTGAACTTATTCTGTTTGTAGCTAAAAGGAGAATCCTACACTTCGTATAATTCCAACAATTCTATAGACTTTTTCCATCAGAAAGGACAAAAAAGAAACACCAATTTGGTGATTCTTAAACCTCTATTTAATAATAATAACAATCACTTCGGAACAACTAATGTAAATTATACTGCCTACAGCAAGCTTTCGAAACCCCAATTTAGAAGAATTTCATAAGTCGTTTGAAAGACGCAACCGAAGAGACCTGCGCATTCAGAAGGTGATTAGTTCACTCACAATAATTTAGTTCTGGTCTTGACGTATCTTTTTTGGAACATGTCTGTTGACTTGATCTGGCCCAGGGACTCCAGGGTGTCCAGTTCCAGTCGCTCAGTTAGCACCTCGCATTCAAGCTCCTTCTGTACAAAGACGCGCAATCAAATTACTCACACTCGAACCATTACTGCTTTCTTAAAATCATTGGTTGATTCAAAATTTACAAGTAATTTTCTTCTGAAAAGCCAACTAGAATTTCAATGTTTAGAGTGCGTACTTTCCTCTTCGTTTTACAACATTAGGCTTTCATTGATACCTTGATTGACTTATCTTCTTAAAACAACAGTTTTACTCACACTAAACAGTTGGCTTTCTGAATAAAAAAAACTAATGAAACGTACACTATCTCACCTCAAGATTTGAAAGCAGTTTCATAAACGTTTCCCTTTGTTTGCTCCATTTAACTTCATTCTCAGCAGAGCCATCCGAATTGTTGTTCTGCTCGTTGAATAAAGTCTCAATGTCAAGAGATGCCATCACATCACTGACAACTTGAGAGCCTCCTTTGCAACTCTAAAACATCCCAGCCAGCGTGCATTTTGAAACTTAAATCCGAGCTAAGAGAACGTTTCAGAATCATTTTGATGTAAAATAATTAAGAAACAGAAGCGAAGCAGAGCTCCGCGCCACTTGCGATACAACAGAAACATAAATTGAGACGAAAGTGGCTGAGTTGTATAAAAAAGTTTTGACATGCCGACCTACCAAACATTTTATATCAATTTGTCGTGAATACGAAAAATTAAACTTACATTTGTATGCATGAAACAAAACTTACAAAGCGGTCACCAAGACAAAATTTTGGCAGACTTTGGTTGAGCAAAAAAAAATGTTGTCATAAAAAACTAAACTTTTAAAAAATAATAATTTAGACACTCTCTCTCAGAAGACTCAAAGGTATAAGAAACTTGTTTTTCGCTTCCAGCGGCGCAATGTGAGTCCACTGCGTCGAAAAAAATATATTTAACTAAATTTCCTCAAAACATCTTGTACCTTAATTACCTCCAGCAATGGCGATTTAGAAACGACATTCAGAAATTCAGAAGAAAGCTGAATCTTCAAAAAGAGTCGGGCTACGGGAAACAATCCCAGAAAAATAAACAGACGAGTGATAGTCCAAAACAGCAGAAAACTTCTAGTATGCCAAAAACAGGTCTCGGCCAGATTGAAGCCTCGAGCCTTTTTCATCGCAAATGGCAAGAGTAAATATACTGTTTAACTAATATACTGTAGAAAAATTATGATTTCACGTGCTGAAATATGCGACCAAAGCCATGAAACTTGACACATTAGTTCCACCGACGCATTCATAATTATCGAAGGGTTTGACGGTTCGAACTGTATCTCTCACAAATAGCGCAACAGAACGCTCCATTTATGCAATGCTGTGGTCGAATTTAAGCCACACCCATGTGATAAGAGGCACTCTCAATTAAAAACATATTACAAGTCAATGATTATGGTACGATGATTATAAATACCTTGATGAATTCTTTGAAAAAATCGGTGACCTGGTCAAGTGCAAGTTTATCCACAAGGCATCCTCTCGCAAGTGAGAACAACGCATAACTCAGCTCTAAAGCAAAGAAAAATTATCAACTCAGGCTATCTATTTGAATTTCTTCATTAGAGGAGTATTGTATTATGAAATATTTAAGCCTACATACACTAAAAAATCTGCCAAGTTCTGATACTAAATGGAATGTCATATCTAACTCCAATTTAAACCATCTGTAAAGATTAGCTCACTTTAAGTACATAACGCTGAACTAAACGTGTAATTCACTCGTCATTATACACAGATGTGCAATGCAGCTTCGCGCCACTTGCAATACAATGCAAAGACGGCATCGCAAAGTAGCAGTCCGAAAAAGGAATGAAAACCTCTGAACTGATTTTTTTTTGGAAAAGAAAGTTTAAAAACAGAGGCGAAGCAGAGCTTCGCACCATTGAATGTCTGATAGAAAAAATTTATGTCTAAAGTTTCAAAAAATCAAATTGGAAAAATGTTGGAAAACATTTTTGAAAATTAAACAAGCAACAAAATCACTTTGACTCCAACTCACGTTTTTACAGGCTAGTTATGCCGAATACACGCGATGAAACTATTTGAAAACAGCACACTGATGGAAAAAAAAGCTAATTCTGATTTTTTTTTTCAGATGAGACAATATACAATTACCGAACAATATAAAAACATTTTGCAAGCGTCAGAACAAGTAAGATTTAACAAACAACACACTTCACCCGAAAACAACTTAAACGTTACTAGAAACAACGAACTATTGAAAATGGTGAACTTCGAAAACAATTACAAAACAATTCAAAATCTTGTAATTATTCTTCTTGCTTAAAAAAATTGCTCAAAAAAAACTCGAATCAAACAAAAATGTAAAACAAGAAAGAGACGCTGCTCAGAGCAAACAAATGATTTTGATGTTCTGAAGCCAAAAACAAACGCCAATTTTAATTCCTTAAAAAATTCCAGTCGGACAAAAACAAGTCTAACACAGACGCGAACCTGCGCTTCGCTAACACTTGCGAGAACACGACCAAAACGCAGCTCTATCAAGTGACATCAGAAAAGGTAGAATTTAGCCTCGAATTTGCAAAAACTCGAGGCTTAGCAAAAACTCGATTTAGCAAAAATCTGCGACCTAGCAAATTTGAGTCCCACGCACTAATCATTCAGCCACGGATGCTTGAAATCCACAAAAACTAGCCACCAATAATGCAGCTAAAAAATTGCCAATTTGATGCGGCAAAAGCAGCATCAAATACAAAACGATACAATTTTGCATGTAAAAAATCGCAAATCATTATGCATAAATTATGCATTTCAAAAGATTGCAAGATATATTAAGCTAGAAAATTTCTGAAATCGAGATTTTATTATTTTTATGCTGTTTGAATCAAAAAGCTTTCTTCGGTTCACTTGATGAATTAAAATGCATCAACTGTGTAAACTTATAACTATTAGAATGTTAAAGCACATGTTATCAATAAGCTGTAAAGCTGCAACTAAATAATAAAGGTGCAACAAAATATCAAAATATCTTATTGCCAAATTCGATGCAGCAAAATCGACGCAACAAATACTGTTGCTTTAAGTCGCAACAAAAATTGCGAATTAGTCGCAACAAAAGCCGGAACAATATTTGCGACTTAGGTTGGAAAAAAAAGAAAGTTCGTAATATAAAACATTGCATCGCAAGTGAAAAGGAAAGAGAAAGTTGAACAAAACCTCAATTGAAAAAACGCAATTTAACTATATTTCTGAAAAACAAAAAAAGACGTATCATTGAGCCACTTTAAAAAATGAATGAGACCGGAAGCGTATCAATATTATCTGGAAGTAAAATAAAATTAAGAGAACATTTTTTTTAATTGACAACGAAAACTGTTTGAATTGAAATAACTCTTTGAATTGAAAGTTTTTGAAAATACTAAAAAACTGTTTGAATTGAAACCAAAACAACTGCTTTATAAAGTGAGCCAAAAAAAAAACATTAAAGATTTTTTTCAATGGCGTTTCAAAAAAAACGGAAAATGAACCGACAAAAACTAGGAAAACCATAACCATTCAAAAGGTGTACCTTTTTTGAAAATACAATAACAACCTGAAACGGGCTTTACCTATTTACTACTCAAATTATAGTAGTTTCACTTGAACCTTCAAGGAACTTAGCTTGCCAGAAGATGAAGGAGTCCAAGAGATTAAATGAATCCTGTGAACAAAGTTATTTACATGGAAAAAATTACCCGATTGCAATACCCATACTTATTGCAAGGGTAAAATACTCAGAGAGAAAATTGTTTCAAATATTTTGTTATTTTCAAATGGAAGCTTTAGTGTATAAAAAATCAAAAAAAATCCACAAAGTATAGATACGTTCTTCAAAATTGAGCTGAGTAAAAGGAATTAATTGAACAGAATGTTTCTAAAACACCCGGCAAATAAGCCGACGAAAACTGAAACGAAATCAATTAGGCCTACAAATTGATAGAAATAGATCAATTGAGCTGAAAAAAAAACATGATTTTATCTGAAAAAACTAGTCGTGGAAGCTTCATTTAGCGCTTCCTTGTCAATCAAAGTTTTCCATAAAAATAGAGTTTTGCTTGTTTTTCATCTTTTGACGATGACTATTGTCAACTTTGTCTAAGTAGCTAATTTTATACGCGGATGTATAGTTCTCTCGTCACACCACCCACAAAAAAACGACACTGATTTGAATAAAAAATCGCAAAAAATAGTTAAGTATTATTTTTATGAATGTGGTCGGAACATGCTGTGCTACATGCACAGCAACCCGCTATCCTTGCTTGGTTTAAGCGCTATGCTCCAACTTCTTTGAAAACTTGCCTGTTGAGACTTTAGAGCTTGCAAGATTCAAGTCGTCACTTTGAACGCCAAGTTCTTTCAGCCTGAAACAATTTTGAATTAATACGGACGCTACGATTACTCCGTTGATTAACTTCACAGATGACCATCTTACAATGAAGTTTTTGCAGCCTCCGAATCCGTCAAATCCAGAAACTGTACGAAATCTTTCATTGCTGTTCTGAAAAAAAAGAAGTGCACAGTTTTTATGAAACCTGAAGGACAGAACTTATCATGGTAAGCGAAGTTACGGTTCTTTTTACTTTCCCCCTACATTTGATTTTCAAGTTAGAAAAATTATTTTAATATTGTTACAATGAGAGAGAGAAAATATTACAAAAGCAATTGACAAAGTTGCCCTCAACCTTCTAATCCCAAAATTGATTGATTTTAAAATAGGAGGAAAGTTACTCAGTCTGGTCAACTCATATCTTGCAAAATCGAAAACAATTCGTGAAAATAAACAACGAGAAATCGGTTTATGTAGATGTCACCAGTGGTGTGCCACAAGGGTCATATCACCAGTGGTGTGCCACAAGGGTAATATTTGTAGATGTCATAAACAACGAGAAATCGGTTTATTCGTGAAAATAAACAACGAGAAAATTCGTGAAAATAAACGAGAAATTCGTGAAAATAAACAACGAGAAATTAATTCGTGAAATTAAACAACGAGAAATCGGTTTATGTAGATGTTACCAGTGGTGTGCCACAAGCGTGATATTTTTTTGCAAATGCTTTGCTTATTGTAACTACAGAAGAAAAGTTTGAGGAGCTTAAAAATATTTAAGTTTTTTTCAGAACAGACTTTGAACCCTTTTACCAATATATTGCACACTGTTCAAGTTGATAGATGAGAAGTCTTTAAAATGATTAACAGAGCCAGAAAAGTGAAAAGTTTGTTTTCTAGGCGTTTTTTCATCATTCAGAAAAATATGGTCGGAAAAGTGTTCTGTGTGCCGAAGAACCTTTTTAAGATGTACAAGCTTGACGTGAACATTTGGATCAATTGAGTAATCCCCCCAGTAATGACCCATTGAGCTATCTCCCTCCAAAAAAAAACGGTAAAACGCTACAAAAAGACGTCAGCAAATGCAAGTAGATGATTGATGTGTTGGTAGAACG